AGGTCAAGCTACAAAATTGACAGGTCCATGACATATCCGTGGAAGTTGGTCTGCATCGTTTTTGCCCCGCTCTCAGGCAGTCAATGTTTGTGCTCGAACAAAATCGCAGTTCCAGACAACGTTTGTACCGGTACTTTCGCAGTGGCAACTGGCGTTTCATCGAGGCTTCAAGATTTTAGTCCGTGATATTCCCTGGGTGAATGTTTGCATGCAGTGTTCTTTGGGGCAGACATTGTGCAAAATCACACTGTGGGTATTCAAGATGTGTCCGTCGATTGAAGATGCCTCTCCCTCGTTGCATCCAAGTTGATGGGAGCATCAGCTTCCAGGGAATAAAATCACCAGGCAAAACCATACTCAGCAGATGGCAGCAGCAGGTAATTGCAAGCAAAAACTGGATTCGGATCATGGGCTGGGGTTGAAAGAATGCTGGAATGATGCATGAGAAGTTGCGGTAGTACTTGCACTGGGAGATCCAGGTACCTGCGTGCGATCCGAATTTCTGGACCCGTTGACTTTTGCCATTTTGTCCGGACTAGAAACTGCAAGCCTCTCCCAAACCAAACCACAAAAGTGTTTGTCTCAGGTGGCCCTGCCCCGCATCGTCCTGTGCCTGCTTTTGCTAAAGGTGGCCTCGGGCTTTATCGCGCGCTCCACCGAGGAGCAAGCCGGCTGGGCAGTGTTCTGGAACTTTGGAACGATCTGTTGGGTCATGTTGGAAGATCTTGGGCAGGCTTTGCCTGCTTTGCCTATTTGGTTTGCTTAGCACGTAGCGATGCAAAGAGTCAAGTTGAGGCTTTAATGGCTCTAGAATTTTTCTTGGGTACGAGTTATCTCACATATGGGTACCAGATTACTACTGTAGGCACTAGGCGCTTATTGTCCCAGCGATGAGGTCTTGGTAGCTTTCAAGCTCAGATTTGTCAGTTCTATTATGCAAAGGAGTCTATGGTCATCGACACGGTTGCTGCCACTGGGCAAACAAGGACGATTCTTCGGTTTGCGGGTCCATCGTTACAAATGCAGCAAGGAGAACAAGTCCAAGCTAGTTGCAGGTGAGGGGCTTGAACTCAGCCTCTGGCGAGAAGCCTTGGGAGACATGTTTGAGATGCCTTCGGAATCTGATTCACGGTCATCTTCCTGCATCTTGAGCGTCAGGTCTCTCATGTCAGTTGGAACGTGACATAGCGTTACTGAACATCAACCCACGCCTCACTCAGGCATTGTTCATAAGCGACATCGGAACGTTCATGTTCCAGCCCTGCCGGCAATGTTTAGGGTTGCATGATGTCGGGGCAGGAGCGGGAGCAGAAGATTTGTTGCTCAGTCAACTCAGTGAGTCTAGCTTCGAAACTAATGCAATCGTGCTTTGATCGTCCCAAGCAGCCAGTGCCTTCACGACGAACAGCGTCAAGAACAATTTGCGCAGGACAGAGTGTTTTTAGGGTTTGTTGGTTTGAAATGCCAAGGCTGGCAGAGCACATTGACATATTTGAAGATTCGGAAGCAGGATGCCCGCCGTGGAGTTTAGCTCCACTAACTGTGCCGGGGCCCGAAGTCCAAATGGCGGTGCATCGATGCGAAGCTTCAAAAACTTGGTGTGCAGGTGTGCAATCTCCAGGGTCAAGTGTCCACTATTCATGTGTCATCATGTGTAGCTTCATTAGAGGCTTTCTGTTAAGTGATAATTGACATCCAGGCAATGTATGTATTGACATGGATCCCAACCAGGAGTATTTGTGAACAACTCCCACAACAGATAGTTCCCCTGTAGAGCATGCGCTTATGCTAGGTAGCGTAGGGCAATTCTGGGCGCAGCTCTTGGACGGCCAGAGGCTCGACTGTTGTCATTCTTCTTGGTGAACTTTGTTCTGCCAGCGCCGCCCTTATCAAAGTTGGGTTGGTTTTGCTCGGGCATTTGGATCTCTGGTTCAGAATCAGGTGACCTTAAGTTGCGTTCAGCCATTCAGCTCCTTGAATGTACATCCTTTCCACGTCGCTCCAAAATGCTGGAAAATTCATCATCCACGCAGTCAAATCCACAGTTGACTTCTGTGCAGTAGCCTGAATGGTTGTATGCCTGGAAGCTGGTTCACGTATCCTGCGCATGCAAGCTTTATGCGAACTGGCTGAGGCGTATGTTTCGTGCAAGTTTACGTAAGTTTCAGATACCCAGCTCTTCAGCTGCTGTTTCGCTTGGATCCAGTTTGTGGTGTCATTTGTGGAAGAAATACTGTGCAACCAGAAAGTGTGCAGGAGTTGCCCATGGGAGCAAGCTCTTGCAAGTTTGGGTAGGTTTCTGCCTTCGAGAACAGTAGTGCAATAAGCGGTGCGATAGAGGACCAACAGTAAACTCTAGGTTTACCTTCATGTCAGACGCCTGTCAAAAGCGACGTCCTCCTCTGAGATCATCACCGTTGGCCTTTCGATTGCGATCGTTTGGTACCTCAGGCACGGATGCTTGTTCCAGGCTGGGCTTGATGGCGGCCCATCCCCACTGGAAGGTCGCACTGCGGCCCAGGCCAGGACTTCACTTCTGCCATGAGTTCTGGCCTCAGGAGTTGACATTTCGGTCGCTGAGGACTGCTTCGGCCAATCCCGTGCCAGCACTTGTTAAGGAACCAGCTGGGACTCCAGTGATATCCTGGCAGTGGCTGTGTTCACCTGAGTATTTCCTTTATCTAAGTTGGACAGCCACCCGACGTTGTCTGACCCTACCCCATGTACAGAGATCTGAGTTCCACGGCTTCAAAAGCTGGGCACTCGAATGGATCAGCTGTGTGCCGGTGCCCAATAATGTGAAGGGTTCCTTTCTTTGCATCCTCACATGAAGGCTGTGCAAGAGAGGGCCAAGGGCCCTGCTCACATTGATCACAAGACGCAACTAGGGGGCATCGGGAAAAAGCCTGGGCGCAAGTGCGTGAGTTTCAATCTTGCCATCACCCTCGTGGAGCAAGCCTCCTGCATGGTGTGCGGTGGCTAAGCGTTCTCTACGCATTCTACGCGTGTGCTTCGGCCAAGTATTCCCAAAGCTGGAGGATAGCATTGGCCAGTTTCTGGGACTTGCCTGCTGTCACTTGGCCGTCGTTTCAGGGTACTGGGCTTCGGATGTTGCGGACTTCCTGACCTGACATGTCAAGCCCGGTACTTGAAAGTGGTCCTTGATGGAAGCCCTTTGCAAGGCTCCCAGCTATGATCCCCATGCCCTTTCTTGGACCTGCTGTAGAGATTTCTTCGCCTTTGATGCGGCGCCCAAACAATTCAGTTTCAGATTCGGCAGCTAACCTTAAGGTCATGGCGACTGCGCGGCGTTCTGCTGCCTGGCCGCATGGTTGTTCTGTCATTAGAAGCGCTTGCCGCGCTTGCCAAAGATAGGCTGCAATGAACGTTGTTGCTCAAAAGGATGCTCAGCAGACGCTTTGTACTCTTTTCGGGCAGAATTTCCTTGCCCAGTGCAACTGCAAGATGCAGGCTTGGGCCCTGCGCACGGGCTGCTCTGCCGCAGTTGTGGTGGCAACACTACTGCTGGCACAGGTGGGATGTTGATTGGTTGGAGAGGACAGGTATCCAGTGCTCAGCACTCTGACCGCAGCTTCTTGGCAATGTGAAAAAGTCACCTGGGCAGGTTGCCTTCGTTGCGCCAAAGCCGAGCGTGAGCGACGTCCACAGCAGAACTTTGGCAGGTGTTCACTGCGTTTTCACCCATGCGGCGTTGATTGCCTCTTCGTGTAAGACGTGCTCAAATCAAGGGTATGCCAATCCAAACTGTCTGGGACTGGCTGGTGAAAGCTCCCAGTACTCGGTCCTTTGAGATTGCACAGAGTATGGTAGTATGTGGTAGTACATGCAGGCCAGCACCGTAATTTCACTACCATATGTAGCAACTGACAGGAAGACCGATGTGATTTGGTGCAGGTTCCGGCTATGCATCCTTGCGCGGAAGTCGTGGTGGGCTTCTCAGTGCATGGGATTCTCAGTTAGGGCCGCGCAGGAAGGTTGAAGTCATTGAAAGCCTGACGCTGCTCTCGCCCTGTTAAGACGAGCAAGGGACCCGGCTTTTCTTGAGCGAGAGCGGTTACGGGTCCAGCGGGATCAGGGCAGAGTGCCTTCGATCACACATAAAAGCCCAGGTTTCTTGCCACGTACGCCTCTCAAAGCGGAAGAGGCTTACCCATCCGCTGCATTCGACAGGAAGTCCCAGCATGCACAGGAGTTTCAGATTGTAGGGACGTTGCCGTGGGTCCCACTGCTTATTTTCAGATTTGTAAGGGCCAGGATCATGTCTAGTGCTTCAGCAAATCTCTCGGCTTCCAGGACCATATGTTTCCAGGATGAGTGTTCTGCAAATGGATGCAGATGGACGACTTTGTATTCATCCCCTGTCGACATTTGGTGTGCCGGGTTTTCTCAAACTCGAGAAGGCAGCATGTGTCTCTGATTTTTGTCAGCAGTCAGTTCTTTTGCATTGACTCATCGGCAACTGCTCGCAGATTGCCTGACAATGGCTCAGCTCTTGAGGCTCGGAGCAGAAGCTGCGTGTAATCTTGGACCAAACTGTTCCAGGCAGCTGCGCCGGCTGGCGAGGCTTGATTTAGATGCAGGGGCTTGGTAGCATTCCAGGCTTTTGTGGCTTCACCGCTTCTCAACTTGTTGGAGTCTTGGTGGGAAATCTACTGGCAGAAGTTGAACTGCGGACTGGGGTGTGGTCTGTTTGGGAAGGGCGTTAGTCCTTGGGGTATTGATGCTTGCGGCTTGACTTGTGCCGCCCTTTCTCTGGGACCGGCTTTCATACCTTTTTCAACTGAAACCCCAGAGAGTCAGATCCAATACCTGCACACTTGAGCTCCTCAAACTGATCTTGACATGCACGCCCGACCACAGAGACACAGCACACAAATACCAGACGCGCAGATCTTTCAGACCAGCAACAGCAAGGAAGAAGCTGATGGCGCAGTACGGATGTTATTCAGAACGAATGGAAGAAAGTCTGACTTTGAAAAATGCAGGCCAAGAAGATTGACTGGGTGCTGTTGGCCTACTTTGCGCTGTGGTACTTGGGCAACTATTACTACAACATCACAAACAAGCCCGGAGCTCATCGCTGTCAACAGAGTTTGACAGACATGTTTGTGGGCTGTGTTCTTCCATGCTTAGCAATGCTTGATTGGCTGGTTGAAGCTGGCACAAGCAAGGTTCATGCAATTCTAGGGTCTACGTATGCACTTGGTGTATGTGGTGTGACCTTGCATATGCTCTACTACCCTGAATGTTGACTTGGGCCATCAGCGATGAAGATTTCGTAGAGGCCCCCTGAATCCAAATCTCTTGCTCAGGCTGGCTCTGAAGGCGGCCGGAGGCGCGAAGGGCTTCCCGATGACTATTGCGACGATGCAGGCAGAAGACTGCTGGTTTGCCAATGGTTTTCATATGTTTTCACTCGGTTTTGGCGGGGCACAGGCCAGGTTGTAGTTTGCTGGGCTGGTTGATGTGCATGCAGAAGACAGCTCCTCTGGATGCCAACACATTGATCAACACATGGTCAATTGTGCCCAACGCTTTTTTTCCCGTGACCGGTCTTCCTACCAGCACAAGCACCAAGTCTATAAGATGAATTCCCCAACAGGCGAAAGCCACTCATTCCATTTCTAGATCTGCTTTTTACCCTCCTGCATTGTCGTACACAGCACAGAAATTTCCATAAGCTCTCTGAACACCTCTGGAGGCCCAGGTTCTTTGGGACCTCATTGTAGTGACTGCTGCAAGGACGTCTAGCGCCTTACCCTTTAACGCACGTGCAAGATCTCCCCAAAGGCTTGCGGATGATGTGGATGCAAAAGCTGGGAAACTGCCTTAAAGGAAGCCCTCAAGTAGAGGAAGCACATGCTCAATTGCAGGCCCTGCGTTTTACCGGGCCCCAACCCCTTTAAAAACAAAGGCCCCAAATCCATCATCCTTGCAACAAGGGAGCCTAAACCCCTCAAGTAATGGATGCAAAAACTGCAGCTCGGCGTGGGGTGCCTTTGGGCACTTCTGCTCTGGGGCTACCCAGACACGCGGAAGCTCCCGGAGATCACCGCGGAGCACGGCTGGCTGCATTTGGGTTTCTGAGTCCAGGAGTGCTCTGAACGTGCTTTGGGGCTAATTCCTCTCTGAAGTTCCAAGCAAGCTGCTACTTACTTCTTTGATAGCGGTTTGTCATGCATGTGATTCCGTTTCAATCCTTCTACCGTGACAGTGATTACTCGAAGACGCTGTTGGTGGGACTGACATCAGCAGGCTGCGCCCTCAGCTCTCGATAAGTTGCTGCAACATTGCTGCGATAAAAGAAGCCTCAGACATATATGCAGCCTAGGCGGCTGATTCCCTTCTGCAATCTTCCAGCCGTCATGAGTGCTAACACTCACGATTGAATGCGAACGGTTGACATGCTCTATACTTTGTCGTCTTCGTGCTTGAAAGTTACATATCGCATTCTGTCAGATCAACTCGGGAATGCCTTTGACATTCTTCTGGAAGCATAACTGTGCAATGCCACTCAAACAAGGTGCTCATGCAGCTTCGGTTTTTGCTCTCAGTGCTGGAGCCGTCTCGTTTGGTCAGATCGTGAAGGCCTTCAGAAGGCTGCTATCAGGATGATGAGGGAAGATTCAGATACAGCATTCTAGCAATGATGACCGCTTTTTGCTGTTCATGCTTCTCAGTGCCACCAGAAAATCCGAGTTCAATGCCAGGATGGTTCACCATGGCAGACAACCCCGAAGAGACTTTCAGGAACAAACAACTCAGCATCATGTGCCCTCCACAATGGGTTTAGCACGAAGCCAGCAAAGAAATCACGAGCGAGCTTACATGAGGGTGGAAAAGCATAAGACTCTCCCAAAACAGCATTTTGGATTTCCAGCAACCAAGTGTTGACTTGAAAGCTGCTGAACGAATTTAGATGAATTTAGGGTTTAGGGCGCACGCCGCGCCATCCCCATACGCGACAGCCACTGACTGAAGCCAAAGTCTGTGCCAACAACACAGAACCTCCAAACGCTACGAATGCTGCGAAACATTGTTGTGCTGCAAATTTTCATCTAGAAGTACTTGGGGAAGCAGTGGCAGGATTTTAAGATCTAATGAGTAGACTGTGCAAGCTGCATAAAAGCCTTCAGTCCTGCCGCGTCCTAAGAGATCCTCATTTGTGACTCAGAGTCAGACGTCGGTCTGGCGCACCGTGCTGTCCCACTCGGTCGGGCTTTTTCTTTCGTAGAGAGGTGTGGGTCACGCGCATGCGTGACCATTGTATACGAATTTGATTTTCATAGCTGTCAATACATTTGTGTGATGGTGAGGTGCAGCATTGGGTCATGATGCGGGTAAAGGCGTCGGGTCGAACAGGTCGAGGAGGATTTGATTCGGGCTTCCAAGGTCACTTGGCGGGGATGCAAGAAATGTAATTCAACTTAGCAACGGTTTGACTCTGGAACTCAACCTTCAGGCCTCGACGCGACGGTAGCTTTCGGATAATGTGGGACGAAGTCGTAGACAAAACCCACAGCGTCCTGAAGGCAGCAGAGCCGGCTTTTGCTGCGTTGATCGGCACCATGTTCTACTCATCGTGGGCCGGGCTGTCGTTTGAATCTTCATTCTGGGGTGGCTTAGAATGTCAAGTGCCACAGGACCTTTTGTGCACGAATCCCAAATGAGATGTGTCTTCGGAACCTCGAGTGCTGGCAGAATTCAGCAGCCAAGGCTGGGTCATTCAGGAAGTGTTGAATCCCACTCTAGAGATTGGTGGAAGATGTACATGTATTTCAATGTTGCAGTGTGGCAGGGGCTGAAGCTTGTAGGAAACGGTGCAGCTGGGGCATGTTGGGTCACTTTAAGTGAGAAGGTCTTGCTCCATAATGTGTCGGCTTGGTGGTCGTGGACTTAAGTCAGGTCTTTTGTCAGACTTGTGCAAGCAGGCGCAATGCTCAAATCCCTGTCCTAATCCTCTCCTTCCACATCATTCCTTTGCAACTCCCTGGCGCACCTTCGAATTTTCCAAAACCTCAAACCACCTGTGAGCGAGCCCGCATGGCAGGAAGGTGAGTCTTGGAAAGTGGCTGTGCCTGATTCCCGTCATTGGCGGTGTGGTCATGCGCTTGGCAACACTAAGGTCTTAGGCTTGCTGTCCTTGAGGAGGGGGAGTCTGGAAGTTCAGAGGGTGCAGCATTTAGGAGCCATGACACAGTGCCAAGCATACTCATACAAGATCATGGGTTGTAATCCATGTGAGAAGGTCCTGGCATCACTGGCCGAGCTGGACTTTGCGTGGGCTGCGTTGGTCAGATTCTCAGATTCTCAGGGCTCTGGATGTGCCGTTTGATTCTTCGAGGAGGTTGACACGATTCACGGGCACTGGCTGACTGTTTAACAACGAGACTGACGCTTTTCTGGTAGTCCATTCACAACCAATCCAAGATTCTCCAAGCTGTCTTGCGCTCGGTCCAACTTGAGCAGAGATCAAAATCCTCTGGTGGGGAACCCTTTGCAAGTGGCTGTAAGGAGCTTGCCGTAAGCAAACGTGTGGGTTTCGTAAGCTACCGTAAGCAAAATCATTCCCCATGCGCCGTAAGCTTTACTTTGGGGTTCTCCACATTGCCGCTGTAAGCGTTGGTCAAGAAAAGCGAGCGCCGTAAGCTAATCCTTGACTTTCGCAAGCCACCATAAGCAAACTCCTCGTCTTCAAGCAAACTGGATAAGACCTTTGACCCCCGCTCAATTGACATGTGCTGCAAAGTGGACAGCTTGGCAAGATCAATGCCATGTTATGACATCTGGCGCAGGGTCAGTGTTCTTGAATCCAAGCACTGCCACCAAAAACTGGAGGATTTTATCTTCATGGGCTCAACTGAAGACCCCGTGCAGAAGACTGAATGATAAGTGGTAAAGAGTTCAGAGATGTCTCCTGTGGAGAAGGAGAGTTTGCTTGCAAAGTGCTTGAACCCCATTTAGGCATCACATGTTGTTTTTGCTTTCTGAGATTACGGCGGCCATGGCAAACGTCTTCGCGGCCTTTAAGGCTGGGCTTTGGCCATGAGGAACTCTCCTGCAATGGCTCTCTCTGGGACACTTATGCTGCTGGAAGCAAGATCCCTCGGCTTTGAATCTGTGAAGTCCGTGCAGCATGCGAGTCCTTGTTCGGGGCACAAGTACGGTACTATGCGTTGAATTATGAGCTGTGCCCTGGAGCACTTGCGTTGAGCACCAGGGGAACGAGAACAAGAAGCTGATGGGCACACCTGGCCTGAAGGCAGCGTGCCGATCCAGGGTCCGGCTTTACAAGCTGCCCAGGAACTGTTGTGGGCCAGCCTTGGATTAATTGGTAGGCTGCAAAACATTGAGCGCTTGCTTCTAGGTCATCTAGAAGAAATGCGGTCTCAAATCATGAAGCTGCTGCAGGACCGGATGGGCGGTGTTGGGAACCAGCAGCGGCCTCAGAGGACAGCCTGCTGACTGCCATAGACTCTCCACGCGGCATCCGCACAACATCTGAAGTTTGGTAGGTGTGTGCTCTCAGGTTTGCCATCACGATGATCAACTCCTTTCTTTTCTGCCTGGTGCTGACATTCATCACAGAGGCGGGGAGGCTGAGGCTGCAGAAATTTCTTCGCTGAAGCAGCCAGTGCTTTTTTCTATGCAAATTTGAGTCAAATTTGCATGGTTAAGATGAGGAGGAGTCAGCCAATAGCTTTCGTGGCAACAGCCTGGACAAGTTTCCATGGGTCAACCCTTTGAAGTCATTCACCAAACCTCCAGCAAAGAGACGAATGCGTTGCATCAAGAATGAGGGCCGCAAACTGTTGGTGACTCAGCCTTGGCATCACATGATTCCGGAGCCAATGATGCCAATATCTGATAGACTTATGACGTTTGGCCAAATTTGGTTGCTTAACGTCTTTGGATCTAAAATTTTCTCACCTTCCAGGGCAGGAAATTTGGCTCCTTCCTGAAGTTGGCGTCGACGAACAATGTGGCTGGGGCCTTCCTTCTCATGAGCCTGCAGGTCCATAGTCTAGGTCTCAATCGAAGGCTTCATTCGATTCGGACTATTGCTGTGTCCTGCCACTGAGATTGTAGGATGCCTGCATCACCTGGTCGCTAGCGCAGGCCCACAAGGCTGTAGAGAAACATGCTGAGGTGCTGCTGAATCTGATATACTCTGGCCTTTGGTTCTACGCCTACAACGAGTGGTGCGCCCAGATGACAGACAAATATTGGTAGTAACCACAAGAAATAGCAGACCATCCTTTGTGGATTGCCTCGCGGATCGCCTGGCTGCAGCATGCTGCTGCGACCATCACCCTCCGATGGGTCAGCTCGAAAAAGGAAAGAAACCTGCCTAACAGAGTTGCTCCTCTCGCAACAGGCCGGCAGAGACAGCCCTGCCGTTGTCCAGCCGGCTGGAATGCGCCGACACCGAATCGCGAGATTGAGGT